CTTTCAGCTCTCGCCGTTCCTCGGACGTTTGGACTCTGCAATGCCCATCGTTGTCGGGGCTGTGCCGATGCTACAAATGCTGGAAGACCGGCGCCTTCCGGCCGGAACATGAGTTGCTACTTCCGCTTCCTTTCAAGCGTGTGCTGCAACGTGAAAGTCCGAGGAGGTAGTGCCAAACGTGACTATCAAAACGTGGCAAAACTTTCCACAGCTTTATCATGGGCACCCAAGCACCCTTCCAGATCTCACCGTTCCTCGGGCCCGGCGAATCTTCAATTGCCGGCGTTACTAGGCTGCAGCAGATTCGACGGTATAGCCGGCAATCTCGTGCTTTCCGGCACTGTCCGGGACTGTCTAATTGCTGGCCGGTCCTTTGAAAGCAATGGTATAGAGCGACTGTCCGAGGACATAATGACACGCTTCAGTATCCATCACTATCAAAACATGGCAATACTTTCCTCAGCTTATCGGCACCCAAAAGCACCCTTCCAGATCTCAACGTTCCTCGGGCCCTGCGACGCCCTCTGTTGCTAGGCTGCAGCAGATACCCATGCCACATGCCCGTGCGCTTTCCGGCACGTACGCAGAGTCCCTACTACTGCTCGAAATTCACACGTGTGGTGTAAAGTGAAGGTCCGAGGACGTAGTTGCACGCTTCATTCTCGCTCATTGGACAATCAAAGCAGACTTTCCAAGCATGCGGGCGCCCAAGCACCCTTCCAGCTCTCGCCGTTCCCCAGACCCCCGGACTTTGCAATGCACTTAATTAAGCCAGCTTTAGGCTTCGCTCCACTCACTCAGACTGGAGGGCGTTCCTTCTCCGACTCCGGCTGATCATACACTCTAGAACTTTTAGCTCTACAGCGAAATTTTGCAGTTCGAGGCAGCTCCAGAGAGCGAGATGCTGCCTGGGAAGGTCTCGCTCTCGCTGTGTCTGAGCTCTCATCACTACCGCTACTGCTTCCGCTTTTTACTTCCGCTTAAAGAGCGCGGTATCGCGAACTCCTTTTGGCAAATCGCTCACCTTCTTCTTTACAGCCTTGTAAGCGTCCAGGACGGCGACTTTGTGCTCTTCCCGCGTCTTGATGATGTAGCAAGCTGTTTGTGAGCCGAGCCAGGACACGGAGTCGACGTCAGGCTGCGACAGCTTGTTGCCACAGTCACTGACATCGATTGTCTCCACGGCATCGGCATGTGTCCTGAGCTTTGAGTGCTTGGCCGACTCGAGGAACTGCCAGCCTTCATTAAGCTTCTCGCAATGCTCAAGGAAGTTCTTGTGCATCACTGGATTCTTGCAATATTGCACGCCAGTTTGCTGGTCGCACTGAGCAGGCGGAGGCCCCGACGCAGCCTCGAGCCAGGATGTGATCTGATGAGGCTTGGCCTCCTTCAGAGACATGCCGACCAGCACGGCATCTTGCTCGGTCTTGGGCACTGGATCGATGTGCTTTTTCTCCATCTCCTCGAGCACGGCGCCGGGCTGAACGCTGTTGCAGAGGCGTTCCCGGCTGGAGCCCTTGAGGATCGCGCCCTCCACACAGCACCGCGC